ACAATAACATGCTTTTAAAAGTTTGGTTTGTTCGTTTCAATTTTCGAAGGTGAAAACCAAAACCGAAACCACATAACTACAGTTCGGTTCGGTTTTTGAGTGCGATTTCGGTCTTCTCAAGGTCCGATTTGTTTTGCTTGCGATTCGGATTTTGTCGATTTGGTCTTCGGTTTCACCGACTGACCCTGACCAATACCTTTGACCGGGTGATAAAGAAACATGCAATCTTGTAAGTCCTCGTGTTTCACCATTCTGTTGGGTCGAAGTGTGGGGCATGCACCCAGGCGCGAACGATTTCACCTTTTGGAATGAGTGTGAAGAGGGCCTAGTCCTTAGCACCCACCCCCTCTCCGTTTTTTACCCTAGGCTAATTTCCATCTTTTGTAGACCCTGCTCCTCAGAATTGGAAGTCATGTGTGTTTTTTTTCCTGCTCATTGGGAAACAATGTCACTTTTGCCCCTTATTCCATCTCATTCATTTTGTCCACCATGACCCCTTTCCCTTTCTCACACTTACTCGCAACTCACCACAAATCCACCTCGAGAAGCATTATCCACGGACTTACCCAATCACCCAAACGAATTGTAACCCCAAGAAACGATTAGCCTCATTTAGAGGCATAGCTATGCAGGACATATTAGTCCCTTACTCATCCCCAGTTTGAAAATATTTCATGTTCATGTGTAGAAAAAATTACGTAAAAATCTATTTTAATTTTTTTGTACCAGCCTAACCCGATATAGTTTTCTTACTATGTCATTGGCCCACCAACTACCTCTCATTTTATCCAGTCTCATCCAAGCTCCATATGCTTTCAACTTTCCTTCCACTCTAGCTCTAAGCTCAAGATTATTGGGTAAAACTTATGTGCATTTCCAATAATACCTCACATTAAGTAAAATAAGGTAATCTTTTGTGCTTAAAATCCGACCAGAACTTGTCTGCATGTCTAATGATACCTCACACTTACAAAAAAAAAAGAAATATTTTCATACCTTCAATATGCCCAAAACCAACCACACCCTTCCTTGCATAACTTCATTCGACGATTGATAAGTCCATATTTTAACACGCATTTGATGCGTGTTGAGATCGATTTTTGATAGTTTTCTTAGCCTAAATGTGTCACAAGGCTCATAATTATCTCAAGTCATATTTTACCGAGTTTTGGTTTGCATTTGATCTTTTTAGAATTAAAATCAAGAAATTGAGTCCGCATCGGAATTGGAGAATTAATAGGTAGGACTCAAGACACATTTGAGAGTTATTGAGAAGCTTTGAAATTCCATGGTTCTTTAAAGGAGTGATGTTGAAGTCAATAGAGCTCAAGGATCAAGTACGAGATCAAACGGGGATGAATAGAGCTTGAAAACGGCGATCAGAATGACGTTCTGTCAATTGTTCAAGCATATCTTTTTGTAGAAACATTTAGAGTACACGATTCAAGTTCCATATAAAAACTATCGTCAAGAGCTACAAATCATATGAAGACACCATAACGATAATCTGAGAGGAGCAAGGTGAAAACAGACGAGGAAGTTAGATAATCGCTGTTGAGATTTCAGGATGCGACCTTCCACAATTTTATTCATATCTTTTGATTGGATGAACCAATTACACTTTTACAAGTTGTTATGGATAGAAGACTTCATTATAAACTAATTTCATGAAGGAAGTGTAGTCAAAGTCGGAAGGGAAAGGCTACCTCCTCGGCTGGTTCAGCCCTCGGCCTTCTTTCTTCCGCTTCCACAGTTCCGGTGATGGTGTCAACGCGGAACTCCGTCTTGCTAACCTTCTTTGTAACTTGAAGGTAGCAAGCGCGAGCAAGCTTTTGGTTCCCCCTTGAGTAACCGATTCCCCCCTCGGCTGGGAACTTGAGGCAGAGGTGCCTCATGGAGATGACGGCCTCAAGATCTTCGAGGGCTGGCCGGCCGAGGATGATGTTGTGGGCGCAGTCGATGTTGACGACGACGAACTCCACTTCGAGCTTGGCTCTATGGAGGCCATCGCCGAAGATGACCAGGAGGGTTATGACCCCCTCGGAATCAATGGTGTCGCCGGTAAAACCGGCAATAGGGGTCTTGATGGGCCGAAGGGACCCCCTCTCCAGATGCAGCTCTCTAAAGGTGCTGAGGTACATTACATTGACGGAGCTGCCCGTGTCAATGTAAGTTCGGTGAATGATGGTGTTGTTTATTTCAGTCCGAATCACCAAGGCATCCCTGTGAGGGGAAGAAGTAGGAGGGAGATCTGCGTTGGTGAAGGTGATGGGTTCCTCCCTCAGCCGTTTTACCGGGGGCATATGAGTGACTTCCCCCACGTAAAGCGATTGAGCCCACTTTTTCCGCTGGCTGGTGGAATCGCCCCCTGTATTGCCACCGGTGATCATGAAGATGTGGCGTTTTTTCTCCTGGTGGTGGGGGTACTCCTCCTCTTCCTCCTCCAAGTTTCCGATCTCCCTCTTCTTGCCGAGGGGGATGGTGTTCGGGTTCACCCAAGCGTTACCCTTCGTGTGGTGCCCTCGGGGAGGTCCCTGATGAGAAGGTCCCTCCTGCCGAGGGCTCTGGATAAATTGGGACATATGGCCCGCTTGTATCAATCTCTCGATGGCCGTCTTTAGCTGATGGCAGTCATCGGTTCTGTGCCCCTGATGCCGATGGAAACGACAGTAGGGGAACTGAGGGTTGATAGCATGTACCTCCGGGGGTGCGCGAGAATCGCGCTCAACGAGGCCCCTCTCCTCGGCAAAATCAAGGATGACGCTGACGGGGTGCGTCAATGGTGTCCGGGGACGGTCCAGGAGAATGGCATGTGCCCAAGTCTTAGGGTTGTTCTTATAACCTCCCCCGGGCTTGGCTTGGCCTTGCCGAGGGGGGTCATCAGAGGGTCCTGAAGCCTTGGGTTGATTTGGAGGAGCCCCCGGCCCCCGGTTGTTCTTGTTGTCAGCCTTCGGGGGTTGCTGATCTGGATGCTGGTGGTATTTCTCCACCTACTCGGCCTCGGCATATCGGTCCCCCCACTGCAGGGCCCTTATGTAGTCGCGGGGGGGGGGGGGGGGGGGGGGGGGTTCAATGATGAGGCTCCTTGAAAAGTTGCCGGTGCGGAGGACGGTTTGTAGGAGGGCTAGGAGGGTCTCGTCGTCAGCACCGTCGACTTTGTCGGTTTCCGTTCTCCAGCGCTCCAGGAAGTCCCGAAGGGTCTCATCCTTCTTCTGGCGTATGGTTAGGAGGTGGGAGAAGTGCTTCCTCGTGCGACGCCTCCCGGCAAATTGCGTCAAGAATCGCTGGGCGAGTTCTTGCCACGAATCAATGCAGCCTTCGGGCAACCGGTTGAACCATTCGTATGCCGGCCCCTCTAAGGTGGAGAGGAACCAACGACACAAATATTCGTCCGACGCCCCTACCATCATCATGTTGTTCTGATATTTGCTGTAGTGCTCCTGGGAGTCCGTCTTCTCGTTGTAGGGCTGTATGTGTTGCCCTCAGTATTTTTCCGGGATCCGGGCCGCCAATACCCTTGGGGTGAATGGCGTCCGGGTCCGGAGCTGGATGATGGGTTCCCCGGAGCCCTCGGCTACCTTCTTCTACAATTCCTCCATCTTGGCCATCATGGCCTCGTACTTGAGGTCTGAATGAGGGGTGGAGGTGGTGGCGTGAGCTTTGTTGGCCTCCATTTCATCAAGTCGGCGTTGGAGGGCCGCAATAATTTCGTCCCGGGGATCCTTCGGGAGGGCCTCTGCCCCCTGCGAACGAACCCGGGCCGAGTGGGCCTGGTTGATTTGGTGGCGAGCATCGTCGGCATGAATGGGTGCCTTGCCTTTGTCCCGAGGGGGACGCTCCTCGTCTGCCCTCGAGACAGACCCTCCGCTTTCCTGGGGTCTTTGGAATGCCTTTCCTCCGAGGTGGTCTTGGACCCCTCGGCGGTCTTGCCCCCCTCCGAGCCGGTTGAGGGCGGAAGTGCGGGGCCTTTCTCTGTTGTCATTGTGGCGGTCCCGGGACTGAATTTCCTGGGAGGCCGTATCTTGGGCCACTACCCCTTCGTCATTCCCAATCCGAGGGATGGGGTTTCCGAAGGGGTGTGGCAGAGGGGGAAGCATGATGTTCTCCCCAACCTGGGGTTGAGCCGGAGCCAGGGTGCCGAAGGCACCCGGGTTCTGAGTGAGCGTCTGGATGAAGGCGGAGAGCGCCGAATGAATGTCGATGGTGAGGACCGGAGGGCTGACTTGGTCATCGCTCCGGTTCTTCTTCTTGGCCTCGATGCCGAGGCGGGCATCGGGGGCATTCTGCTGGATCTGAAGGCGTAGGTCGACAACCGCCTGTTCCAGCTCAGCGATGACACCGCCCTCGGGAGCCCTGTGAGAGGCTTCGGGGGCGTTGACGTCGCCGAGGGCCAGATTCTTGTCTTCTACGTTTTTGGAGTTGGCACGTTTTTGGTAGAGGGCTGGTGTTTGGCGAAGGGGGAGGGTTTCTTACTTGATTGTTCGACCTCTCAATGAGAGCACCAAATGATGGATAGTATACCCGGGGGTAGCTTATCCGAGGGGTTATTGCGGGGAATAATAAGAGAGAAGTGAGAGCAAGTTAGTATAGAGAGAGAAAGTGTATTGTAAAAGTGTGGAGCGTTTTCAGCGTGGTTACAAATGGGGAAATGGGGTGCTATTTATAGTAGCAATAAATGCCAGACAGGGACACGTGTCAAGCGTCCATTGGCCGAGAGGTCACCTCAACTGGTTGGCGCTGGCAACCGCATGTGGCCGCATTTAATGCGGTTGTTGGATGGGACGCTGTACTTGGTACGGTGACCCAGATGCGTGTGGAGGGAAGATCCTGTCGAGTGAGGTGCCTTCGGGCACACTAGTTGCCGAAGGCTCTCTGTTGCCGAGGGCACACTAGTGCCGAGGGCTCTAGGTGCCGAGGGCTGCTGTTTTTTGCCGTTTTCTCCCAGTTTCTTAGTTTGCTTGAAAAACCCGTTCTGTGAGAGGTTTGAGCCTTCGGCCAGGGGGCCGAAGGCTCCCCAATGTGCGCTGTGGGCTGCTAAGTGCTTGGGGCGCCGTAATTTGGGCCTGCTGTGTTTCCTGGGCCGGTTGGGCCTTTATTGGTTTAGTAGGAGTCTGTGGGCCAGGGGTTCCCGGGCCATATACTTCATCAGAGACGATACTCGTACTTATACCCGATATTGCTACATATTTTTTAGTGCGAGAAAACAATCATCACGATTTAAGGACTTCCTTGTACCAATTAGTACACGGATTCCCAATTGAGCCCTCCAAAACCCACCAGATTGACAAACATCCGCACGAATGTAAACTCCAATGTAATCTTTTTTTAATGGAAACACTTAAAGTGCCAAACATTCAACCTTCCAACTACCCAACCCTTCTCTCTAGATTTCTTGTATTCAATGGTCGCACTTACTCTCTGAACAGACATAGAACGGACTATCCAATAATGAATAAGGCTAATCACTAAACATGTGGGAGATTCGAAACTATTATCTGCCAACATAGCCTGGTTGCTTCCTCCAATCTAATAACTAAAACCACAAAGAAAAAGTTATATCGTTTGACCCCAAATACATCAAAAGAAACAAAAAAAGTAATGAACTGACAACTTAAAATTAATGCAAATAAAGTAAACTTTTGGAGCTCCTTCACGTCACGCTCTCCTTGATGTTTCTGCAAAGATCTTAATCTTGTGTTAGGCGAGTCACTACATTGTAGCCCGGTTCTTTCCAATTTTTTGCGTGTCCTTTTTTCACTTCCATGTTATTATTAATGTCCTCAGTCCCCTCTCCTTCTACTCGCCGACGTTTATGGTCCATATTGTGTCATATGTGTGTTGGTTCCCCTTCAATCATCCATGCTTCCCCACATGATCCTCCTCTGAATTAATGGTTGCAGACCCTACTTCCTTCTCTTTGCTCTATCTTTTCGAGTTGGAACTAGACATTTGTTTACTTCTCCTTGAGCTCTTCCTTTTGTGGCCCTGAGCTTCAGTCCAAATAACCTACCACCCCCCTCCGAACTATCCCTCGGGTTACTAAGGCAGAAGTTCTCAGCGTGTCCAATAATTTCACACATGAAGCAAAAATTGAGTAATTTCTTATAGCGGAACGAAACACAAAAACTAGTACCTTCTTCTTTTTGCAGAAATAATTTCCTTTTCATGGGTTTCCCTATATCCAGACTAACTCTTATTCGTATAAAGGGATTCCAAGCTGAAAAATTATGCTCATCAACGCTAATAAATCTTCCCACAAAGTTACCTATCATTTGAGCATTTTTTAGAGTAAACTAACTCATGGGTATCCCATGAACCTGTGACCAACATTCTGCCCTATTCAAGGGAATCGACAAAGGTAAATCTCTCTCCTCCAATTTTCTTAAAGTAATTAGATTTCTCCAAGATCTGTTATAGTAACACCTTTGACAGATTTCCAAACTGACGCCATAGTGTCCTGAAAAGTAGAAAAATGTATCGATTTCTCTGATTTCATTTACCTACCAGTGATAGATTTTCACCGGCTGTCGTTGAACTCAGTGATTCCACCAATACCACTTCATCTTCTTCCTCCATCTTCATCTTTCCATAAGCTTGAGCGAAAACAACTATTCCCTCTTGTCTTTTATTATATGATGATTGTCCTCCATCAGTGCCCTCCTTCATACGGTTGTTATCCGTTGAAAATCCCACCACTGTCGGAGCCCTAATGCACTGCTACCTTGAATCACAGTACCTGCGCACCAAGAAAACTGCGAACAAAATCCGCCACTAACCCTAGGCAATATGCCTACCCATCCGAAAAGTAATATCAACATTACATATTTTGATTATTACCCAATTTAGCGCGCGGAATCAAAATTAACATGTTTAATGAAAAAGTTTATTGATAAGATTGATAAACTTATACGAAGTTATCAAATGGGCTTTAAATATGTGCTAACTTAACATTGTACTCTGTATCATGTAAGTTTTTCTTTTTATATATTTTATGCAAGTATTTTGAAGTTTCTCCAAATACACTGTTTTCTCATTTTCACTATTTTTGTCACGCTTATCCTCCTCGTTGATCCAAATTAATAAATATTTTCACTACCATATTACTACTTGACTTATACTCCATTTGTTCTTAAATAATCACAACATATTGAATTTCGCACTATTCAAATTCTACATTTTGACTACACGTTACTAATTAATGTTTTAGAAGTTTAATTTTTTTAAAAAGTACGGTTAAATTCATCTTATTTTAAATTTTCAAACTCTAATTTTTTAATAATGGTGAATTAAATATATCAATGATCAAAGTTATGCATTAACAAGTGTGAAAATAAAAAAGTGTGTTGCAACAAAAAAAAGAACAAGGAAAATATTTGATGGTTCAAATGAAATCATACTTTAAATTAAATTTTAAATATCTTGTGTGTGATTTTGGACCTCAAAGAAAGTTTGATGTAGGTACTACGAGAAAGAGTATACGATGATGAATGATTACCCTGCCATAAAAAAAGGACACGACCATAATAATATTAATCATTGTTGTTATAAAATTAATAGTAATAATGTTTCTTCCATATTTAAAAGTTTGCTACACTTTCCTATTCAAATGTACTTAAAAGTTTGTTACATTTTTTCTTTTTAGTAAATTTTTCCTTTGAAAATACTCAATTATTCTCATTTTTTCTACTTTTGATCTTCTCGTTCCTACTTTTTCACCTTCTTTCTTACTTTTCCTACACTATTTATTACTCCTATTAATTTTCCCCTTAAATATTATGTCAAGATCTAATGTAGTGTTCTTTTAAATACGGATTAATAATAATAATAATAATAATAATAATAATAATAATAATAATACTGAGTAGTATAATAATAATAATAAACAACTATAATAATAATAACAATAACAACAACAACAACAACAACAATAATAATAATAGTAATAATAGTAATAATAGTAATAATAGTAATAGTAATAGTAGTAATAGTACTAATAGTAATAATAATAATAATAATAATATTAATAACAAGAATAATAATAATAATAATAATAATAACAACAACAACAATAATAATAATAATAATAATAATATTATTATTAATAATAATAATAATAATAAGAGTAAATTCCCTAAATAGGAGTAAAAAAGTTTTGAAATTCCAAAATAGGGCTATCATGTTTTTTATTCCCTAAATAGGAGTAAATTTCTGCCAAGTTTGGCATTACTGGGCTTTTAAACATGACATTTTTTCCCAAACTTGACAGATTACTCCTATTTAGGGATGGACTCGGGTCCGGGCCGGGTCGGGCCTAGGCCCGGGCGGGCCGGCGGTTCAAGAATGGTGGACCCGGGACCGGCCCGGGTAGCCACCGAGTCCGGCCCGGGCCTCCGGTTTTGATTTTTTTTTTTTGCTTTCCTAACCCCCCCCCCCTCCCTCACCCCCACCCCCCAACCCCCCCCAAACCCATCCTACCCATCAAGCCCAACCCGAGTGGAACCCCAAAAATGAAAAAAAAAAAAAAATCAATTTGGCCTGGGCCGGTTCACCAAATTTGAGACCCGAGCCTGGACCCGCCCTACCCCCGGGCCTAGGCCCGACCTGGACCCGGACCCGGACCCGAGAACCGGGTCGGTCCCGGTCCCGCACAGTAGCGGGCCGGGTGGCCCAACCCGAGTCCAACCATACTCCTATTCAAGGAATAAAAACATGATACTCCTATTTTGGAATTTCAAAATATTTTTACTCCTATTTAGGGCAATTTCTATAATAATAATAATAATAATAATAATAATAATAATAATAATAATAATAACAATAACAACAACAACAACAACAACAACAATAATAATAATAATAACAATAATAATAATAATAATAAGGACAATAAATAGAAAAAGGTACAAGTATTACCAAGGTCCAACGTGGGTCCTACTTTTGAAATTGTGACGGAGACGGCAGTTTCCCTTCTCGGCTTCTTTTCGTCTCCCTTTTTTCTCTCTCTGTTGCTCAAAGTCTTATTTTCCAATCCATTATTAATTAATTAATTAGATTTTATTTCTTCTTCTATCTATGCCCTGTCTCTGCGAGTCTTATTGAGTATTCAGGTTCTCTCTCTAATCTGTCTCATTACCCTTCTCTCTCTAGAAAAAAGACAACAATGGTGGAATAACAATCTAATCTAATCTATCTAATGACAAAAAATCGTCTTCATAGTTAACTTATAAAAAAATTGCAGCTTTGTGTTCTTAACGGTGTGTTTGGATGTTCCTCCGGTGATGAATCCAAAGTCTTCTCTTTCACACCTTCCTTTTCTCCCATCACACAAGTCTTTCATGGAGATTTGAAGAATCTAGGGTTTCACGAAGTTCGAGCCGAAGGTCATCTCTTTCTATAACCATTGATTCTCTTTCATGTCTTGTTTTGCTGATTCCCTTCTGAATCTGAACATTAAACTGCTGTCCTCCTTCAAAGATGCCACTTTTGCTGAGTTGAAGTTCTTGATTTTGTTTAAAGAACACAACAAACCGAGATTCTTTGGTTTGTTGTGTTGAAGATGTGCTTTAGTTGCTTCTGTGTTGATTTTTTCATGGATTATGGAAGATGTAATGATGGGTTGTTTAGATTTTAGGAATTAGGGGTTGTTTAGTTTTTCTTTTCTTTTTTATATATTTTTCTGTTCTTTCTGGGAATTACTTGAAGATGGAGGAAATTGAGGAAGCAAACAGGGAAGCGCTTGAGAGTTGCCATAGGGTGATTAGTTTGTTATCTCTTTCTAATACTGATCAGAGTTCATATGGGAAATTAAGTGTAGAAACTGGGGAGGCTGTTCATAAGTTCAAAAAAGTTGTCTCTAAGCTGAATTCTACCTTGGGTCATGCTAGGGTTAGAAAAGTCAAGAAAATCCAAACCCATTTACCTCCTAACATTCTTCTCGAAAACCCGCTTCTCTGGAGACCCCACCATGACCAACCTAAAGCTGCATTGCAGCTTCTTCCAGCCATTCCCATGGATAACCAGAACCAGGATAAGAGTTGTACTCTCACGTTGAGAAGTCCTTCGTATGACTTGAATGGAAAGGCCCCAATTCAGCCACCCCACCACCATCACCACCAAACACCAATGTCAAATTATAACTTCCTCCAACAGAAGCTAGTTCCGGTTTACCGGCGGAGCAATAGTGGAATCAGCCTTAATTTCGATAGCTCCACTTGCACTTCCAACCGGTCATTTATGTCCTCACTAAGTATTGATGGGAGCATTGCGAATATTGACGGAAATGGCTTTCAGTTGATCGGAGGGTCGCGCTCTGCTGACCTCAGTGCGTATCAGCAACTAAACAAGAAAAAATGCTCCGGCGGGAGGGGCGAAGATGGAAGTACCAAATGTGGAAGCAGTAGTAGGTGCCATTGTTCTAAGAAGAGGTGTGTTGTATTATATTATTATATTCTGCTGTTTTTTAGGTTCTTTTCTTCACGTTACTCACAAATGGTATTGTTTTCGGACAGGAAACATAGGGTGAAAAGGTCAATTAAAGTGCCTGCTATTAGTAACAAGTTAGCTGATATTCCTCAGGATGAATATTCTTGGAGGAAGTATGGGCAGAAACCTATCAAAGGTTCTCCTCACCCAAGGTATTGCTATGTAGATCATGTTTGAATCAATTACCTTCATCATATTTGTTGTAACCTGAACTAGTAGTTACAAACACAGTATTTGGGAAAAAAGAAATTAAGAACGTAAAAAGGAAATAAAGACACTTTATTTTCTATTTTGAAGGAGAGGAAGAGAAAATAGAAATTATTCTCCATCTTCTTTCTCTCCAAAGTTGAACAGAAAAATCGTTTCATTATAAAATTTACCTTTTTCCCTACTATTAAATTTTTTGAGTTGTATTCTGTGGGTGTAATGGATTAATTAAGGATCATAACTTCATGACATCTTAACTTTATATACATTAACAATTCAACCAACAATAAAAAACTATTATCTTTTCTTTCTTTTTATCTCGATCCAAACTTTATAGGTAATAGAATAGAACCAAAAGTACATTCATTTTGCCTTTTTATTTTCTTAAACTCTCGTGTAAAGAAAATGAATCATAGTGGTTAATTAATTAATAATAATATTAAATATTAATTTTATTGTTATTTATATTATGACTAACATGAAACTACGATAGTATGAAACATTATGTAATCTTCTCTTACAATAATATTGATCTTTATTATTGGACTGATTATGTGCAGGGGATACTACAAGTGCAGTAGCATGAGAGGCTGCCCTGCTAGGAAGCATGTGGAAAGATGTTTGGAAGATCCTTCAATGCTAATTGTGACTTATGAGGGTGACCATAACCATCCAAGAGTGCCATCACAAGTGGCAAACACATGACCACTTGTTATGAAGTTTTCACAAGATTTCTGGTTTCTCTTTTGTGTAACGGCTTCAATTGTCGTGTACATATTTTGCTAGTTTAGCCTTGAGTTAGAGAGATAGATTGGGGGAGAGCTGAAGATATGGTGCAATTGACTAGGGTACGAAAGCCTTCAAAGGTGTGTTTGTTTGAAAGGCAAATGTGAATTCTTCCATGTTTATTAGTAGATAGGCCTTTGATGGTTAAGTTGAGCCTTTGTTGTAAGGATGTCCTCATGGAAATATGACTTCTACTGCATATTTGTCTTGTTGCAACTATGTTTCTCAATAGCTTTTTGATTTCTTGCTAAATTCTCCTTTTAGTTACTACAGGCTACAGCATGATATGCAAGTAAGAATTTACATAGGTTATAATGCTCCAAAAAGGTATTGCACCCCAGACCAAGGTTTGCACTAACCCGCTTTAGCAGAACTACTGAGAGTTAAATTGAAGATAGGACCGGAACTGGACTGGATCGGAATTAGGCATATAAGGGCTGGACTAGGGATGGACTCGGGTCCGGGCCGGGTCCGGGTCAGGCCTAGGCTCGGGCGGGCCGGCGGTTCAAGAATGGTGGACCCGGGACCGGCCCGGGTAGCCACCGGGTCCGGGCCAGGCCGGGCCTCCGGTTTAGATTTTTTTTTTTGCTTTCCTAACCCCCCCCCCCCCCCCCCCCTCACCCCCACCCTCCCAAACCCCCCCAAACCCATCCTACCCATCAAGCCCAACCCGGGTGGAACCCCAAAAATGAAAAAAAAATAAAAAAAAATCAATTTGGCCCGGGCCGGTTCACCAAATTTGAGACCTGAGCCCGGACTCGCCTTACCCCCGGGCCTAGGCCCGACCCGGACCCGGACCCGAGAACCGGGCCGGTCCCGGTCCCGCACAGTAGCGGGCCGGGCTGGTCCACGGGCCGAGTGGCCCGACCCGAGTCCAACCATAGGCTGGACTAGTTGCTTGAATTTCAGTCTCGGGTTGACTGGCCTAAAGTGATTTCTGTTCCTCCACAAGTGCATGGTAAGACTAAAATCTGATCAGAACTGTTTTGGATCAACAGCTGATTTATCCGTTTAAAGTTCTGATACCCGTACAGCCCTGCCTGTACTCAGAAACGATCTGCCTAGATCGGAGCGGTTTTGGGTTTCGGAACTGTTCCAGGTTCTGGAACGGTTCTGGGTTATCCTACATAGATGCTTGTATGGATGGATATTCTCATATTCTTACTTGGTAGGCCGGATGGGAATTGGGAAAAGGGAATGATTGTGGGTGGGATGGGGCAAGAGAAGCACTAAGTGGAGGAGTGCAAGCTAATGCATAAATTAGGATTGTCTCTTAGATTCGGATGAGTTGACATATGATTGTCTCATCATTCACGCTACAAAAACGTCTCTATTATTCTTAATGTGTACTCGCAATAGACACGGTCATTTTTCTTGTCTAAATTGTGTCCTCGGACGGTTTGGGTGTTAGATATGGATCATATGGCTATAGTTATGACTTATGATGGAGCATGGCCGCATGTTAGATATGGATAACTTATGATTTCTCAAAATAGGAGTAAATGAAGTTTGAAATTTTAAAATAGGATCACTATGTTTTTATTCTCGAAATAAGACTAAGATGGCAATATTTATTGTCATCTTGTAAGCATGATTGTCAGATAGTTGCAATACAGGCTGTACAATGCATTTAACATAGCAGTATTTTTTATAATTAATGGCTATATTTTTCAATCATGGTAGTATTTTCCATACATGACAGTAACAACTTCTATTTTGGAATTTCAAATCTCATTTACTCCTATTTATGGCAATTTCCCCTTAAACATCTGATAGAGTATATATCTAGAGAGAAGTGAGAGCTAGAGAGAGAAGTGCAAGTAAATGCTTCAATAGAATGATTTTGTAACCCCTATAACTACCTCCAGAGGAAGTATTTATAGGAAAAATACGGGCTGAGCTCCCAAGCCTTGGGCTTGGGAGGCCCATTTACAACTGGACCGCT